CCTGCGCGGGCCGAACCAGGCCAGGCCTGGGCCCTGACCTGCTCGGTCACCTTGGGCCTGGCGCTGACCTTCCTGGGCCTCCACTCCCCTTCTGAGATCAGGGCACAGCCCCCTGTCCCCCTCTCCGTTCCGTTCCTGGGATTGTGTATACAGTTGGCGCAGTATGGATGCAGTTCCTCCCATCAGGTGGTCCCCTGGCGTCTTCCGCCCCAGTTCCTTGCTCCTCCTCCGCCCCTCGCCTTTTTTTCCGGAGAGGGGTCATCTCCGTGGGAAGAGGGACTGGGGTGCTGTCAAGGGTGGGACCTTAACCCCAGGACACCCCTCGGGAATCGTCGTGCAGGGACCCCCGCGGGAATCGAACGTGGAACTTGGACTGTGCTGCTCGAAGCGTCCAGGGGCCATTGTCTGCGGCCGCAGGGATCGATACGGCGCGCCCTTGGGGTCAAATATCACTTCCAAAGTCGCTCTGGCCAAGGGAGGCCTTGACGAAAGCGAGGCCCGGGTGGCACAGGGCGGCCGCCTTCGCATGGAGGACCCTATTGTGGGGGAACTGGGCCGGCCCATCGGTAGCCACCCGCCCTGGGCTCACCCTGGACCTTGGGTCACCGGAAACCGCCGCTGGAGGAGGGGAGGATGGGGAGGGCGGCTGGATTTGACCGCACCTCTGCTGCTCCGCCCCAGCAGCCTGGAGTGGGATGAGACCTGGGGCTCCTGGAAAATCCCTGACACTTAGGTGGCCCCACTTGGGGCGGGGTGGGGGGGGGTTATGTTTCTGAGAAGGCCTGGGCTGTGCTAGGTTGGAGTCTCCATTGAGGGGCTTCGCCCAGCCCAGGTCCCCTTCCCACCACGCTTGGGTGAACCTTTTCCCACTCCATTGATCAGTCCCTACTCTGAGCCCACATGAACATGCCTGGGCTCTGCAGAACCAGTACGGGGAGCCCCACTTCCCATATGCACAAAACTGAGGCTCAGAAAGGTCCTGGTGTCGGTTCTGGGTCACCCAAGGAGAGACCCTGCCCCAGTTGGGGCTTAGTGAGGTGAACTATGGGGTGGGGAAGGAAGGGCGGCCAAGTTGGGGTCAGGGCCCTCCCAAGAGAGGCTACTGGGTGGGTCCCTTGGCACCTGGAGTTTGGCCCCAGGTTTGGGGTCAGGGCTTGTCTGGCGTGGCCGTGTGTGTGTGTGTGTGTGTGTGTGTGTGTGTGTGTGTGTGTGAGAGAGAGAGAGAGAGAGAGAGAGAGAGAGAGAGCTGGCTTCCTCCCTCCTCCAGTGCTAACTGGGCCACCAGACTGGCCTCATTCTTGCTGCTGGAATAACTGCCTGCTTTCTGGCCAGGTCTTTGGGGAGGGCAAAGGAGGGGCTCAGGCAGTTTTGAGGTCCCAGAGGTTCCCTGAGGGTGGGAGCACCAAGGCTGGGGAGAGGAGGCATTGTTAGGGGCTGACAGGTCCTTTGGAAGCTCAGGGCTGTGTCACCAGGTGAAGTCACTGCCCTTCAGTAAAGTTTCCTCAGGGCCCATCCTGGGCAGTGTGATGCCAGCCCCCTAGGAGAGACTCTAGCTCCAAATCCAGCCCTCTCCCCGTCTGATGGAGGCACAGTGAGATGCAGAAGCACCCGGCCTGTGGAGTCGGGGCTGGGCCAAAGGGAGAGCTAGGTCTGGGGTCCCAGGAGGGAACAAGGGGCTCTGGCTGAGGGTCAGGGAGGGCTGCCTGGAGGAGGGCAGCAGGATGGGCCTTAAAGCAGGAGCCGTTTGGTCCAGGCAGACTCCCAGTGGCAGGTTGGGGGAGCATTGTTGTAAGATGAGACCACCCAGGCATGGGAGAGAAGTAAGAGCTGAGTGGGCCTGAAATGCTGGACTGAGGGCCACAGGGGGCAATGGAGGGTGTGAGCAAGGGAGGGCTCTAATCAAATTGAACTGGAAGCCAGAAGTCCAGGGAGGAAGCTCAGTTGGGCCCCGGGGTTGAGCCAAGCATGTGCTTGTTAGGTGGATCATTGAACTTTCTGTTTCCCCATCTGGAGGACCAGGAAAGCTGTCCTGACTCCAGAGCTGGGGAAGTTGAAGCAGAAGGTTCCAGGCCTCCCCTGAGGTCAGGGGCCCTGAGCTGGGCCCCTGCCTGCCTGCCCACCCACCCTAGGCTTGGCTGTTTCCAGCCGGCTGCCCCCAGCCTGCTGCCTAGGACCCTCCCACTGCCTGCCTGCTGGGCTTTGTTCTGGTTCTGCCTGAGCTCCCTCCGCCCTAGCAGGGCCTCCTCCTGGGGGCTGGGGCTGTTTAGGGGCAGAGGCCTGAGCTCAGAGGCTGCCACTTGCAGGATCCAGGCTCTCGGAGGCTCTCCAGAGCCTCAGCTCTTCTAAAGCTGCTATTGGCACTTCCTGCTGGGGCCTGGGGCCAGGGGCCTGACCCCTCCCCCAGAGCCCCTCAGACAGCCCCACCCACCTGACCCAGTGCATTTCATGTGGAGCTGGCCTCTGGCCTCCTGTTTCCAAATGAGGAAATGGGCTTGGTGGAGAAGTTGCTGCAGGAGGGTCAGGGCTGCATGTTCAACAGAGTTGTTAGATTTTTAACTTCAGTAAGTGTTTTGCTCTGATTTTTCTCTGGATGAACTTCTTGGTGCTCAGCTGGAAGCTCAGGGGTATCTGCCCCAGGTCTGGGCTCAGAGAGCCCTGGGACCAGGGTGGAGAGAGTTATAGAGGGGCAAGCGCCAAGGGGAAGAGATGCTGGGGACATATGGAGGACAAGCTCCTGCATCCTCCTGCTTGGGGTTGACTCTGGACAGGGAGCTCACTGCCTCACAGGGCCCGGCCACCTGTCCCACACCTGGGAGAGGCAACAAGGATCCCTGAGGGCCACCAGGAAGAAGTTTCTTGGGCTCAGTTAGGAGTTGGAAGGTCTTTCCAGAGGAAGAGACATGGGTGTGGGGTCTTAAAGCAGGGACAGGAGTTCGTTCATTCATTCATTCATTGGTGATGGCCTTGTGCAGGGTGATAATGCTGGGGCCCCCACAGTGCTGTGACCCCGTAGAGGACTGGCTCTGGCCTGGCCTGGCCTCTACTGTTCGTCAGCTCCCTGACCATGTCCCTTCTCTGCTCTCACAGTGCCCCTGGGACAAAACCGCACCCCTTGGTCTGCCAGTGGCTACATAAAATGAAACTGTTTAGGCCTCCGTATTTTCACATTTCCAACCTTTTGCTCTCCTTGCACTCTGCTTATAATTGCCTTTACATTCACCTGGGGAACTATTCATCCTTCAAAACCCAGTTCCAATAAACCCTCCCTGGTGTGCTAATCTACTTTGCCATAGACTCCTATTCATCTGTCACCACCCACCCCCAATTGTCCTTTCCTCTTTTTTTTTTTTTAAATTGATTTCAGTGAAGAAGGGAGAGGGAGAGAGAGATAGAAACATCAGTGATGAGAGAGAATCATTGATTGGCTGCCTCCTGCACCCACACTGGGGATCGAGCCCACAACCTGGGCATGTGCCCTGACCAGGAATCAAATCATGACCTCCTGGTTCACAGGTCAAAACTCAACCACTGAGCCATGCCAGCCGGCTGTCCTTTCCTCTTTGTAGACCTGCAGGCGTAACCTTGGTGCCCCTTTGGGGCTACCTACCCAGCCTGGGGTGGTGGAGTACCAGTGTTTCCCAGGCGCAGCCTTCAGAGTTGGCTCAGAGGGTAGCTTGAGGAGCTGGATGTGGGTGTCACAGTGACCCACGTGGTGACCTCTGCATGCCCACAGGTCTAATCGTGACTGCCAGATCGACCAGCATCACCGGAACCAGTGCCAATACTGCCGCCTCAAGAAGTGCTTCCGGGTGGGCATGAGGAAGGAGGGTGAGTCTGCTGGGGCGGGGCAGACAGAGGGTAGACAAATGGCCTGCCCTCATTCCCTCTCTTGGGGTCTGGTGCCTGCTAATCTCGTTACCACCCATCTGAGATCCCACGGGTCTCAGTTGGGCCCAGGGCTTGAGGAATCCAATTACCCGTGGCTGCCTTGTGGCTGTGCAGGAGCTGGGGCTGCAAGGGATGCCCTGACGGGCCCATGTTAGGACTGTTCTCCAGCCTCCCTGGCCTCAGAGGCAGGTGCTCTGGCCCAGACACCTCAGTGACCTCCCTGCCCCTGTCCCCTAGCCTGGCCACCTCTTTCTGAACAAGGACATATTTTTTTATTTGACTTTCTCTCCCTCCCACTCCACCCAGCGTTATGTTTGCCCAAGGCAGGAACTTGTCTGATTAAGTCAAAGGGCAGCCTGTCCTTCCGCCTGACCCCTGGCCCTGGGAGCCAGAGGGAGGCCCAGCCTTTTGTCTCTGCCCTGGGGACTTGGGTGGATATGTGCTGGCAGTTGGCCTAGAACTCCACCCTTAGAATTGAAGTGGAATGCAGAGACTTCCACCAGGAGCCTGGGGGCTCTAGAACAGAATCTGACCCCATGCTGGGTGTCATGTTTCTGCCTGGACTCTCACGGGCCAGGCCAGCAGTTCTTCCCTGCATTGAAATGGAATTTTTCCTGGTCTAAAGTTGGTTTCTTCTCTGCCGGGCTTCTAGAAGAAGCTAGGAATGGCTGCTCAAACTATGTCTCTTAAACCATCTGATCAGTCCCTTTGGTCCTTTTCAGTTTGAGGTGACTGTCCTGCCTCCTTCCCCACCTGGATTTGCCTCCACTTGTCCATTTGACCTAAAACCCCTCAGTTCTTCAAATCGGGGCTTCAGCTCTCCCGTCTCAGGAGTGGATACCGTCATAGCTGCAGCTCATGTCCCAAGCACAGTCCTGCCTTGGCCTTTGCATGGGCTCTTCCTCTGCCTGGCATGTTTTCCCCCAGACACCTGCCTGGCTTCCTCCCTCCCTTCCGTTAAGGTTTGCTTAAATAGCACCTCCTCAGAGAAGCCTTCCTGTCTACCCTTCATCCTCCTCCTTGGTTTCACACCATTTACCTCGCTCTGCAATTTACTTGCTCCCTTACTAGAATGTCCCCTCTCTGAGGAGGAAGACTTCTGTCTTGTTTGTGACATATCCCCATTGCTTATAGGCCAGGCCCTGGAACACAAAAGGTGCTCAGTAAATGTTTCTTGTCTTGAATTACTATTCGTTTAGCCCTTACTATGTGACAAGTGCCGTTCTAAGCCAGTTAGATAGATTCTTATGTAACTCAGTGATTGGTGTCACCATCTTTATTATTATCTCCTAAACCTTACAGATGGGGAAACTGAGCAGAGCAGGGAGGTGGGCCGTTTGCCAGGGTATGAGAGCAGTAGAGTTATGGTTTAGGCTTGAACCCACACATTCTGGGCTGAATGAGGAGGAAGACTGGGGAAAAGATGCTCAGGAAGTGGGAACAGCAAGTGCAAAGGCCCTGAGGTGGGAACATGGTCAAGTGGGGGTGGGGTTTAGAACTGAGTGAGCAAAGGCGGAAGGAGAAGGTCCCCAACCTCTGAGAGCAGAGCATGGCTCACCCCAAGCCTTCACACTCCCCCTTACCCATTTTGTCATTCCTCCCCCATCTGCTTATGCCCCTGGCTCCCATCCATGTCCCCCTCCCCATCTGCTCCATGGCAGGTTGACCAGAAGTTCATGGAGGTGGCAAGACAGGGCCTGCCAACTCAGTAACGCTCAGTCTCTGCCTGGCATCCAGGCTACTCTGCCCCTCTTCCCACCGCCCTGGTCACTGGAGACACTGGCTGAGGCCAGCAGTGAGTCCTCTACCTCCTTCCTGTCGAGACTACTGATGGCAGCTCATGTTTATTGTGCACCTACTGCTGTCTAAGGCTCCATTCTCAGCACTGGGCAGCTGCAGTGACCCAGACACAGATCCTCTGGGGCCATGATCTGGGAGGCGGGGCTGGGAGCTAGAGAAATGATCCCATCTCCATAGGAGAGATCACTTGCTTTAGGGACAAGCTGGCCAGGGTCCCAAGTCCTAGGAAAATACCCCCTCCCTGGCCGCATTTTCAGCTCTGGGACTCCCATGATTGACAGGGACATGATTGACAGGTCAAGCCTCCCTGGCTGCTGACTGGAGCTCACACAGACCAGTGGGAGAGGGCCAGGCATGCCTGAAATTCGCCCTCACCCAGTGGTCCCATTCCCACCCAAGAAGGTCCCCCCACCATGGTCCTCCTCTGTAGGAAGTTGGGTGGGGTTGGGGGCTCAGGCTGGAGGCACAGGGCAGAG